TGCCACGTGTCAAGTTCTTATTCGATTGTCAACTTTTTAATTCGATTGTCAAATTTTAAATGGCAAAAAGGACTAAAATGCAAAATATCAAATCCCAAAAAATCCCATAACTGCACCAACATCTCCTTCTCTCCCTATGGAGACTACTGGCGGCAACTCAAGAAGATCCTCGTCGGCGAGCTCCTCACCCCCCAGCGCGTCAAGTCCTTCTTCGCTCTTCGACCCCAAGAAGTCTCCAATCTCCTCAAAGACATCAGCAATGAAATCTTGGGACCTGCCAAGATGCAAGACCCTGTTAACGCTAGTTCTAAGTTTAGGGAGCTGTTAATACGCTAGTGGCGAGAGTGACGTTTGAGATAAATGCAGGCAGCAGAAGAGGTTTCATCGAGACGACTAAGGACGGGGCTGAGGCTGTCACGGCGGTTTAGTTAATTTGGAAGGAAGCAGCGGCCGGCCGAAGGGGAAAAGAAAGCAGCGCGGTTTTAGGGGAGTTAATTGGAAGGAAGCGTGGATGTGGGATTTTTTAGGATTTTGATCTTTGCATTTTAGTCCTTTTGCCATTTAAATTTGACAATCGAATAAAACTTGACACGTGACAGCAGCGTAGGAATTTCCTATGCTGCCAGCTCACCTCCTTTTTCTCTCTCTCTCTATCTCTCTCTCTCTCTCTCTCTCTCTCTCTCTATATATATATATATATATATATATATTTTTTTTTTTTTTTTAGGGGGGGGGTGCAGTTGCACCCCTAGGAATATGAAAAATTACATTGTAAAGCCTTACAAACTTACAATTTACCCATAATTTAAAAATATTTGCACACCAACCTCTATAAACATGTAGCCCATTTGGATTTTAGCCCATTTAAGTTAGGAATTTAGCCCATTTATCAAGAATGTTTTATAATATTATATTTTAATTTTTTGGTAAATAGATACTTGTCATCTGCCCCTATAAGAAAAAAATTGTATGCGCTGGTGGTTACTCCATTGTGTCACATTGAGTTACCAATTTTCATCATCCGCTTTTAAGACTGTCTACGTTGTGTTCATAGTTCGTGTTTATATTCTATGTCTTCCTAGTTGAAAGGTACAGTATTGTGGTTAGTCTAATAAATTTTATTGAAATTCTTTCTTGTACTCAGTCTAGTGGTAATCCGAGTAAAATTTCCTTGCATTTTTGTAGAAGCTATCATGTCCATGCTTCATGAGAATACTATCTCAAGAATGCTGCTTGGTGATTTAGTTGTATGAAGTATGAACATGCTATTGATTCACTAAGGGCATCTGTTTTAACTTGAATAATCTTTAATACTTACAGTTGTAGTGGACTTCTCTAATTGATTCTCTCCATGTGAATGCTTAGGGTGCAGTAAACAAAGTTCAAACTGAAAACACCAGTTGTTATAGGTAAGGGGAACCACTACGAAAACTGCAAATAAAAGTAGTTCTTCTTACTCATTATACATGTAAATACAGTATATACTTCCACATTATATGTGATGGTTAGACAAGTTTTGAGGCTAGGTCTATTGTTACTTTGTCTGATGTTGTACTTCACTCAATGTCTGATGGACAAATAAGGCCCTAACACCTTGTATTATAAGACCCTGCTAGCTACAGGCTGTTATGCTTCCACCAAATGTCTGACCACACAATGCATCCTATGGGTGATGGTGTCACTAGTTTTGAGGCTAGATGTAACGCCCCTGATTTTCACACTAGCTGCAGTCCAGGGTGAACCCCATAGATGTTAGAGTTGGTATCAGAGCACAACGTGTAATAATTAATCATTTCGAATCAGCATATCTGCAGTTTTCTGCAGGATATATGGTTAGTAAATTGATCATATTTTTTTCTATACAAACTCAATTTAAGAATGGTTTCCTGTTTTAGAAACTAGACTCACACGGCTTTCATTTGGAACTAGTTTGGTTTAATATGGAGTTTATCTTCTATACCCAGTTTTCATTTGAAAGTTATACTCAATCTACTAAGGACATGTTCTGCAGAAAACTACAGCACGTGTATAAACTTCAAATAAAAACTGGGTATAGAAGATAAACTCCAAATTAAACCAAACTAGTTCCAAATGAGAGCTGTGAGTCTAGTTTCTAAAACAGGAAATCATTCTTAAACTGAGCTTGTATAGAGAAAGATATGGTCAATTTACTAACCATATGTTCTACAAAAAACTACAGATATGCTGATTTGAAATGATTGATTATTACACGTTGTGCTCTGATATTAACTCTAACATCTCTGGGGTTCACCCTGGACTGCAGCCAGTGTGAAAATCAGGGGGCTAGATCTGCTGGTAATTTCATCATCTGATGTTGTACTTCACTTAATGATGGGAAAATAAGCCCCTAACAACTCGTAGGCCAGGATCCTCTTGAATGTTGTTTGTTGTGTTTCCATCAATTGTCTTTGTTATATAGTGCACTTTTGAGCAGAAATGGCTAGTTACTGAAGGCCACAGCCTAGGACGGTTGCCTAACTTCTTAAGATATTAATTTATGTTCTACTGATCTCGATTAACCAATTTGGATCTAAATAAAGGTTTTTGGCCCGCGGGCTGCGGCTTATGAAACTTCCATTCAACTAGTAGAGAAATCAGACTATGTTCAATCACCCTGATTTAGAATAGGAGAATTTTTTTTAAAAGATCATTTTTAAAACATAATTAGCAAAATCGATCGTTTTTCTAAACAATGAGCAAAATCGACCTGTTTTTGACCACATCAAGGCTGGCCAAAAAGAGGTTGATTTTGAAGAAAAAAAAATCATCTTCAAAATATACGGGACTTCTAGTCCCTTGTAATTAGCAATTATTAATTATGAAAGTGATTAAGCTCAGAATATACATTGGACTATTAGTCCAGTGTATTCATTCAAAAACCCTATTTCTGTAACATAATCTTACTCTTGCATCTATTCATCAATTTGAGAAGAAAACTACCAAAATAGAACAAACAATATTAAGATCCAAAAGCGATCATATTCTGATTATTTCTACGTTTTAAAAGATAATTAAAGATTCAATAGGAATGATCAAGATCATTAAACAACCAACAAAATCATATAAAACCGCATATCAAGACTTTCAAGAATCAAACCTCTCACGAAGTGGAGTCACCGACGGTCCTTTGTTCCTTGTAATATCATCATCACTAACAACAACAACAACGAGCTCGTCGCCGAGAGCCCTAGCTTGGTACAGCGCGTTGCAATGCCCATAGCGTATCATGTCGAAGCACCCATCCATGTAAACCATAATCGGCTTCTTCTTTCGAAATCTCAAGAAAATCGTTGGAAGAATCGCTGGAGCAAACCCTAACTAAATCACGGCAACGATGGAGGCGAGGACAATGCCACTGATGACGAACACCTTGACGAGCTTTTCTCTTTTGATTAACGCCATGGATCGAAGATTTAGGGTTAGGGTTTCGTTTTATTGATTTTAGCTGGAGAATTCTCGAGCTTGCTCCAAAGAGAGAGAAGGATACAGGGATTTAAAGGTCATAGGTTTTGATGTGGACTTGTGGGGCCTAGTGATGGGAGATGTGAAAATATGGGTGTGACGGTAAAGTTTTCTTTTAGAACATGTTTTGGGGTTTTTGAATGAATACACGGGACTAATAGTCCCGTATATATTCTGAGCCGTGTATTTTGAAAATCTTTTTTAAAATCGACCTCTTTGTGGCCAGCCTTGATGACGTGGCCAAAAAGAAGTCGATTTTGCTCATTATTTAGGAAACAGTCGATTTTGCTAATTATGTTTTAAAACGGTCTTTTTTAAAAAAAATATCCTTTAGAATAATATCAAGCTATATAAATATGCAATGCAAAGTAATATTTTATGCCAATTCCCGTCCTGGCATTAACTTCTATTTTCAACATGAGAGTCGGCTTTCAATTCTAACACTGCTCTATATTATAGTGTGAAGAAGTATGCCGCCTTGCATTGATGAGGCTCTATCAGCTTATGCCTCACATATATACTCTTTTTTATATGGCGCATATGAAGGGCACTCCTGTTGCAGTTCCATCTTTTTTGCAGGTAGTTGTTATTCTTTAACCCGGTCAATACATTTTGTTGGATCAAAATACTGATGCTCTACTGCTCTATGCAGATCCACACAATTCAAGTTTGAGAACAGTTGAAAATTCTTTTCGGCTGGGACCACTTTTAGTTTGTTTAAGGGACTCTAGCACACTACGTTGGATTCGGAACTATGAAGAATTTTTCCCTTTCCCTAGAACATCTTGCTTTTTTACTATTGTAGAACTAGCTTGCATCAATATTAACAATCCTTGATAGAAGCCTCAAGATAGCATACCTTGTCACTTTTCTTGCCTTCCCTATTGAATCTTACCAAGAACTTGAACTTGCCCTAGTAATCTTGTTATGTGATCAGCACAACACCCGATCAAGGATCAAATGAAGTATCACATATTTTACCAAATGGAACCTGGTTGCGGTTTGATTTTGGTGATGCGCATCCAGTAAGTTCACCGGTCATGCACAGATTGTCCATCACAGTTGATATTATTAATTTATTGATAGCTTTTGTATTCTCTGCTGAAACTTTTTGTAACATTTCAGGACTTGCCAACTCTGTATCTGCAAGGAGGATCAATAATTCCTGTTGGACTTCCTGTTCATCATGTTGGGGAAATGAACCTTACCGATGATTTATCACTATTTGTTGCTTTAGATGATAATGGTAACTCATCTGACCCCTTCTCTATCCACGAAAAGTATCATTTGAACATTTTGATCCAGTAACTGTGTATCAGAAGCATATCTAATGTGTTTTGCATTAGCCGGATGTTTTTCTGAGACCAAATATTTCATTATTTCTATTAGACCCACACTACAACTGCAATTCTGTTTCCCAGGTAAAGCGGAAGGTGTTTTATTTGAAGATGACGGTGATGGCTATGGGTATGTTCACGGGGCTTTTCTCTTGACATACTATACCGCTGAACTGCAATCTTCAATCATTACAGTTAAAGTATCCAAAACAGAAGGGTCATGGAAGAGGCCAAAGCGTTTTCTACACGTGCATGTTATCCTAGGTGGAGGTGCTATGGTGTGTCTGTATTTTAATTATTGGTAAAACAACTCTTGAAATCTCAATGGTCTCTAATATTTTCTTCTCTATGAAGATTAATGGGAAGGGTATTGATGGAGAGGAAATACAAACTACAATGCCTTCAAACTCTGAAGTATCTAACTTGATACTAGCGAGTGAAAATCAGTACAGAGTGCATTTAGGTAGGATTTTGTCCTCCGTGATTCTAGCATAATTATCTGGTGCTTCTTTCTAAAACTTAAGCATGTTTATCTAAATAATTTTTACAGCCAGAGATATTCATGTTTTTTTATTGAATAAGTCATTAGTGTTTATATTATTGAAATCAGTCTTTATGAAGGTTAACAGTGATGCTTATTTGTGGTAATATTTTATTGCTTTATTTTCTTTTTTGTACATACGTCTCTTTTGTCCTTATCTGTAGCCTCATCAAATAAATTTCCTTATGATATAATTTAACATTCTACATGATAGATATTTGTAAACTCTGAATCATGGTGCTTTTTTTAGACTCTGTTAGTCCTTTTAGTTAATTTTACCTTATGGACCTTTCTGTGCATACATATTTAATTCGTACTCCATTTGCTGTCAACGTGGAATTTCAATTTTTTTTTTAATACTGCTCATTGTACTTATATAGTGGAAGTGGTATATGCAGAAAGGGCCAGACCTATCCCAGATGTGGATCGACTTCCAGGACAAAAAGGAATTGAGCTCTCAAAAACTCCTGTTGATCTAAAGAGTGGTGATTGGGCTCTTAAATGGTGCCTTGGATTGGGGGCCGAATTATCTCTTATGACGTATCTACCTTCTGGTAACATCTATGCTCACAATTTCGCTGTTCCTCATTTCAGCTTGTAATAGTTGCAATGATAGTGCATATAGTGTTTACTTGATTCAGAAACTTCCCTGTCCAGCATAAACTGCAGCTTTCCCATATGGGTCCAAAGAGCATTTGTCTTGTTTATTTAGAGTTTTCTTCTTTAAGCTGGTATTTGTTTGTTACCCTATTTTTGTCCAAGAATCATAACCACTAGAGCCCTATTTTGTCCGAGAATCATGACCACTGGAGGTTAAATGGCTCTTTAAATGATCTGCAAGTTTGAATCCTGTAAAACTAACCCTACAAATAATCTCATTGTAACATATAAAAGTCCTAGCTACCTCCACCAGGGTTTTTACACTACGAGGGATGATATCCATGGTTATGTAATTTGCAAAGTTACTGAAATTTAACTACATAGAATCATTTATGGACAGTTCTACTTCAAAATCATGGTGATTTGGTTGACTCTGGAGTCTGGAACCATACAAATGGAAGCACATGGATCAAATTGTAAAATAATCTGACTGCATAAACACACTTTTCCTAAGGCAGAGAACTATGTTTGTTTTCCCCTACTAATTTATGTTCTCAACTAAAAAAGCATTATATTTTTGGAACCATAACCTCTATAGCAGGGTAAGATTATTACATTTAAATAGCAGGGTAAGATTATTACATTTACTTTTGGATTTCCATACGAGTAACTTATTTCTAAGTTTCTAACCTGTGTTTAAGTTTTCTCTTTGCATTTAGAACAAACTAAACATACTACAAATTCAAGTAGAGAAACAGGATTAAACCAATAATAGTTAATATTCAGTGCTGCACTTCAACTAATTCATAAACCGGAGCATTTTCCGATATCTAAGTTCTGTGAAATCATGTTCTTATCCTTGCAACTAGATGTTAAAATATGCAATTTGGCAGGTTTATTATACAAAAGTTTTCTTTGGAGTTCAAACTATCTTTAGCTTATGGCTCTCCTATTTAATGGTTTTTCCAGGGAGCCAGTGGCTTCATAGTAGAGTAGAAATTGATGGTTATGAAAAATATAGTGGTACTGAATACCGTTCTGCTGGATGCTCTGAGCAATATGCAGTTCTTGAGTAAGGATATCGTATTTGTGATTTTTTTTCCTCAAGCATCAAGTGAGTAGCAACATCAATAATCTATTCTGAGAAAAGATTGAATATATAAGTTTTTAATCAATATTTATGAATATGTTTACTTCTCTTGTGATTTGACAAAAGTTCCAACTCAAGTTAAGACTGTATGTTAAATGAAATATATGCCCTGGATTTGTAGGAGGGATCTTCAACAGTCGGGAGAGGACGAATCACTTTTATTAGAAGGGGATATAGGCGGTGGATTGATTCTTCAACGCCAGATATCAATTCAGAAAGATGCTCCGGGATATCTCAAAGTGGATTCTAGCATTGTAGCTCGTAGTGTGGGTGCCGGTTCTGGAGGATACTCAAGGTTGTTTGATAATGCTAATGTATCTGAATAAGTAATGATGTTCTAGTAATCAATCTTCTACATATCATTTCATCTTACATCTAATATAATGATGAACATGCAGATGCTTAGGTATATGATATTAGTTCCTCAATAAGTTTCTTGCACAAATTTGCCTTTTGACTTTAAGCAGATGAGAGGATATTTCAGAATCTTAAATAGTTTTGTTCTGGGCATGACAGTTTTCCTTTCTGATCTTTTTTATTTTCTTTTCTTTTCTTTTCTTTTCTCTTTTTTTTTTCAAGGCTGGTTTGCTTGCGAGTACACCCAACATTCACTCTCCTTCACCCAACTGAAGTTTTTGTTACTTTCACTTCTATCAATGGTTCAAAACATGAAGTCCGCCCAGAATCTGGTGAACAAACTTTTGAGGGGACTCTCCAGCCCAATGGTAACTTCATTCATCCCTTGTCCTTTTTTTACTTATTTTTTTATTTTTTAATACTATATGCAATTATGCATGAAGTTCTGTAATCAGACATATGCCTAAGTTTCTCTTATCCTTTTCTGAATTTCCAGGGGAATGGATGTTGATCGACAGTTGCGCGGGTCTCAGTTTGGTTAATCGTTTTGATTTGAGTCAGGTAAACAAATGTCTGGTGCACTGGGGCACCGGAACAGTTAACTTGGAGTTGTGGTCGGAAGAGAGGCCTACATTATCAGTGTTGTATCTTAGATCTATTTTTGCGAGTTATGTGGTTTGTATTGTGTTCTCAAGAATAGATTCCTGCGCATCATAAATGGAAGATGCCATGTAGACAATTTGGCCTATTGCCTTGTTTTCTGCTGATCCCGGTATAGATACTGGCACTTGAGATCTCGCGTAAATCTGAAACTTTTATCAGGAACATAGCAGGAAATAATGGCTCAGCATTTGATCAACCTGTTTATGGTAGTTGCCCTAGTATGTATTCTTGTACAAGCACTGTAGTTTGGTCTCTAGTTACCGAATTGACTGCAACTCAGATCTACTCTGCAGATTTTGCATGCAGATTTTGTATGGTCTCTAGTTACCGAATTGACTTCAGTTCGCTGTCCAAGAAACCTTCATTGGCGTCACTACTTTGACGTCGGGTTACTCCAGAATCGTTTGACTGGCATGATTTTTGCAGTACAAAACAGTTAGTTGTTGGCTTCAATTTATATGTGAAACAAGTCAGCTCTTTTTCAAGGATAGACGATGGGTATAACAGATCCTGTGTTACTATATAATCAAGGATCTAATAGAACGTGTGAAACAATATCCAGTATCAACAAATCATTGAACCCCCAGCACATGGTTCCAAATTGCACTGCATACTCAATTACTTGCATTGTGGAACAAGGGAGTGTCTAAAAATCGAAAATACAGAATTCAAGAACAAGTCTCACTTTAATGAAGATTTCAATGGAAGGTATACCCCAAGAAACTGCAACATTAACCTGCTGAAGATTAATAAATAAATGTTTTAACCTCCGACAGTAGAGTCGCAGAGCAAGTCCAGCAGGATCTTTCACATGTGATGGAAGATTAACATGATTAAACATCCACTGCATTCTGCACATAGGTTGTTATTTACAATTTTTCTATATAAATCCAAAATTAAAATAAATACAACACTCATGGTGAGTAGGATGAACACTCACCATCTATACCTAAACAATGGCTAAATCTACATTCATCACCCCTCAGCTTATTAACTAAGCATTAGTTCAAATGAATCCCATGTTCTAAGTAACAACGGTCGAATCTTTCGCTTGCCTTGACATCAACAGAGCAAGATGCAATGCATTTTGTTGGCAAAGTCTCAACGGATTCTTAAGCACAGTAACTGTTGCTTTCTTTGCTCCCAGCACAACATGGGCAATATTGTAAGAATCACCTCTTTCAACTGCAAACTGCCACTCCCTTGCTGATATCTCGAACCAATCTTTGCTTGCATATCTCGTGGTCTTCACCTCAACATACTCCCTACTGCTTCCTTCCACTCCAATAATCATATCATATGGTAATCCAGTCTCAGCTCCTTCATTAACCCATCTCACATTTCCAGAACCAAGTTTATTGACAAAGTATTTATATGCAACTACCTCCCCTGTTCTTCCAGTCTTCCATAACCGACTCCCATCATTAGTTTGATAACAAAGGCTCACCCTTTCTGGGGCAGAGACCAATAATGGGTCACTCAAATCATTGTTTGGTTCAGAACTGAACAAATTAAACTGGTTATTCATCAATCCGGAGTCATGAAATCCTATCGTGGACTGTGCAGTATTGCTCTCCTCTATAATCCATTCCCCGTCGATCTCATCTGGTAGTGGGATATCCTCTGTGAGAGGAATAGCATCAAGAGCTTTGTTGGATACTTTATCTTTGTGGAGGGATGGGGCTCCACATGGTTTTGTGAGGTGATAATTTGCTTGAGCATAACTCATATCTGGGGCATTTTTCCAACCCGTAGGTGGCCAATTTGGATTGCTGCCCGGTTTCTTCTCAGCTGTGTTATGATCAACATCCATGGAAGCAAGGGCTGGCTGTGGATCCTCAGCGTTTGGAAGTTCCAGTAATGATGAAAAGCACCATTCAGGTTCGTCAGTGGGTAGCATAGGAACCTTTTGACTATTTAGTATAAAGAATTCTGTTTGCTCACTGGTTGACCCTGATTCAGCCATCGTTGTGACCATGTGAAGGAAATTAGCAAAATGTAATTCAGTGGACCCGTCGAAAAAAAAGCGCGAGAGCTCCAAGAATATGGAATGAGAATCTGCTGTAAGGGTTGTGTACAGAGTGCTTCCCTGCAGAAACAGCAAATAATTAAGCTTCACCAATTTATGCGAATTTATTTAACAAGTCCCGATTAAAAATTATATCATTTTCCCTATGCTAAACATGACAGTGAAGAATCACGATCTACGTAGTTGCAAAAGAATCTAACTTCAACTTTGAAATTAATGTCTCATATCCTCTCAAAGACATTTTACAAAGTAACTATATATATGCTCCATAAAGTCTGCTGTCAAACACAAGCAAACCCCTAAAATATTTTAGTTACGGACTTTGCAGTCAGTTATGAAGCTGTGGAAATGTAAATGTAGGTTTCAGTAACTCCATTACGCTTAAAACAAAACAAAACAAAGTCATTGCACAAACTTGTTGCAGAATAAAAACAAGGCTGAAGAAGTAAGAATAAAAGCTCGGCCACCAAGCATCTGTGTACATAACCAAATACTATTCACCCACAAAATCATCAATTATCTGGCATCTAGCAAAATGTTAGTCATGTAAGCAATCAAAACACTTAGATGCAAACCTGCAGAAGGCAGCAACATTCAAATCGTTTCTTCGAAGTGCTCCCTCGTCCTTTAATATAGTTTTTATAAAATAACTTGTCAGCTACAATTACTTGTAGATGGCTAAGCTTCTCAAATCCAAGCTGCTTAAGGCTGAGATACAAGTCTGGGTAGAGCTTATAAATATAACGTTGAGCATATGGAAGAATCCATTTTATCAGAGAAGCTTTGTCTCTGTTGTCATGTGTACCATAGAATACTGCTTCACGGGAAATAACCTGCCAAGCATGCATCATTTAGTTGCGAAAAGTTAGAAAAGGAAAAGGAACTCAAATAGGAATTGTTTACTTGGATAAAACATGCATACCTCTGAAAGAGCAGGAACACCTAAATCACGCATTAGTGCTGCAATTCTTCCACACAGCTTTTCCTTGTCTTCTTTACTGAGTTCACCAAAGTGTAAGAAGTCAATACCATCAGAATGCTTAAATTGGTGCTTCAATTCATCATCATCAGGCCAGCATATAAGACCAAACGAAGGGTGGAGAGACACCCACTTATCCTGCAACGTTGGAAGCACTGTATTTTCCACTTTCAGAAGATTCTCTTTCAAGTCAAGAATTTCTCTGGACTTAATCAACCCTGAATTTAGATCATTGGCCCATTTCACAAACACCTGAAAAACCTGGAAAAGGCCAAAGGAGAAGTATATGAAGACCTGAACCAATAAATATATGTGAAAACTACCTGGGCATATTGTTCAAAAAAAAAGAAAAAGAACAAGAAAAACCACGTCCATTATTACTAGGACACAACCACATGAGTGTCATTATTCAAAATTCAAACTATGTATCACCAATAGTAACAATTTGACTACTCAAGGAAAAGAAACATGTCATGTGAACTCATTGTGCACCAAAAAGCCTCAACTAGTTAGTATATGACCAAAATGCATGTTTACATTTTGCATAATATTCCCCAAAAAATTGAGATTTCCAAGCATAGGAACTTCTGCCAAATATTTTCACATATGTAGTTCAGAATGGCATGGATCAATAACAAAGATATCCAAATATGACTATGACAAAAACCCAAGAAACATCTTGGGCTTTGCCTGGAAGAAAGGAAATTCTCAGAAACAAATTTGAGAACCGCTGTACTTAAATGGGTAAGAGCTTACCACATGAGCTGCCTGAGAAGGTCGTGCAGCGGATGATAACTGTAAAAGTATCTGAAGGTAATTACCGAATGGAGGGGTTTTCGGCACCCCACATACATTTACAAAAAAGTCATAAAGGCATGGGTAGATAGTAGCCAATGCCTTGCAGGGAACAGACTCGTTGTCCTTAGTTGACGAGCAAAAAGCTAGCAATTCCTTAGCCTTGTCCACACAACCAGTTGGATCATACCAATACAATTCTTTAGGTGACAAAAATATACCAGACAATGCGTCATTGTGTCTATAGGTACTGAGAAATGGAACAAATATGAAAGAACTTGATGTGAATTCTTCATCAATCTTTACATTTGATTTCATGAGTCCATCACAGATGAAACCATAAAACTTTGACATTTGAAGAATACTGAAACAGAAATAATAAATAAGTGTTAAATAAAAAATAGTTAAATGAGATTTGTAAATAAAAACAGCATTACAAAAGGAAAAGTAGAACAACTAAAAATAGCTACTGATCTTAGCAAGCGTAAATAAAATAACAGATCATCAAAATAAAAAACCAACAAATACGGCAAAGCTATTAGAGATAATACATAACAAGATGCTTTATACTGTATTGAGTTTTTGGTGCAATTAGCTCATTCAAATTTTTAATTAGACAATGTCCAGGCATAGACATTATTTAAAGACAACAACATTTTAAATATCGGATATCAGGGAAACATCGGATGGCCAAAATTAATATTTGATTGCGATATTAGGAAAATATTGGATAGGTGGTAAATGTTGGAATGCCATAAAGGATATTTGCATATATAGTATAATAATGTAATCCCAACATACTTAATGAAATATAAGCATACAAAATGTAAATAATATATGTTTGAGATCACTAATCAACCTTGTAAAACAAACAAAAGTACAAATAAACATTACAATGTTTCGTCTGATTTTTATTTTAGGCCAAAATGTCATTTGCTAGTGGGAAAATCATGAATATCTCACCTAAAAATCGCCAAACACGGTATATTGTTTTGTGACAAGCCAAATATAAGGATATATCGGCTAACATATCGACTGATATATCAGCCATATCCGGGACATCGTCACGGTAAAGAATATTTAGAGATCATATCAGTTAAAACAAGCCCTATAAAAAGTTATATCAGGCCATATATCGGGTCCATATATCAGGTCATGTCAGGGATATTTAAATCAGTGAAAGACAGCATAAGTAATAATAGGAAACAGGACAACACCATCTCTCTCTGGTAAGGCAGACCTTACTGGTAAAAAAGCAGTGGATTGGTCATGAAGGGGTTGTAGGTGCAAGAATGGCCTATCGCCCTTGTTCAAAAAGAATAAAATAAGGGGGAAAACATGATAGAGAAAAACACTATCTCTATAGCTTCATGTGTATGGACAAAGTAAATATCCACTCTATGTACCTAGAAAGGATAATGTTATTTAATGATCGTAATATTTCCTACAAATGCCCTTTTGAATATTTACTCACCAATATTTTACCTGTAGGACTATCTCTCAATATGGATAGAGAGCTCTGAATTATGGTGCAGAGCCTCATCTAGCTATATTGAGAGTCCAATGATGCAGAATGAGTACCTACTTACAAAATGTTAAATTAAAGTTATTTTCCCTGTCACCATCTGTTGTATTTCAGTTCTTTCGAATTTCCAGGCTGGGACACAGCATCATCTACATCATGTGGGTTCAAGGTGAAATGTTGATTGGTTGTGTTACTTGTGTACCAGGACACAGCTAAAAGTAACAGATAATTTGGTTGTTCTATTTTTCATATTTGACTGCTGGAATCCTCAACATGCAATAGGAGGGCTAAAATACGATTTGATGTACAAGCATCCAACACAAAAACATTAAAAGAAAACGGATGATGGAGGTAAATGCTTAGCTCTGGCAACAAGAGAGAGTCTATCCACGTGTAAAATATCATTTACAACCACATATATTTACCTATTTGGTTGTAAGTAACCCAAAGTCAATGATAATTAATCTGTTTGCAACACAATATATATACTAGCATATGAACTGCTGAGGTCATCTTTTATCTCAAAATTATTACCTTGATAGCTCATTTGGAGGTTCCCTGATAATTACAGGAGTTGCATTCACAAAAATTCTCAGGTTTGTGTTCTCTTTCAATTTGATTAGGTTATCATGTTATACTTTTATTTCAAAACAAAGATTTTGGTCTTAGCAAAATAGAGCGAAACTGATCAATGAGGGCATAGTCAAGAGGAATACACAACAAGCATATAACACATCGTATACAAAGTCTTTGGATCGCGGAAAAGTATGGTTGGTTTTCATCCAATCTTTAATGCCCAGAGGTTACTAAAGGGGAAAAAGGCTCCTTAAGGAACATGATTAGATCTCTCTTCCATCTAGGAGAAGGCTCCTAAGGAAGGAACATGATAGAATTCTCTGCGATTTATGGAACTGTCTAAATGAGTAGGAAAATCCATTCATAATGATCATAGAATTTGATGACCTCCACACATGCAACTCCGATTGGTCCACTGTAAAAGACTCTTCCAATGAGACTAATAAGATAGGATCGCTAGTAAGTATGTCTTAGCAATCTAGAAATGTCTTCTGTTTATTAAAAAAAATTTAAACCCAGCAATTAATATTTAAGAGCTAAATAGTACAAAGCCGTAAAATATCATCTTTCTCATCACATAAAGAGGAGTTCAATGATTTGGGTTACTTTTCCCTTTTAATATGCATAGGACGGGCATACACTATTTATGAATTGATCTATTGTTAATGAATTGGTTATAAAAAGAAATTTAACTGGATAGCCTGCTACAGCGCCTATATACTATTAGATCAGAGAGAGAAAGATAGGGAGGATATATCCTGCTACGGCGCTGCTCAGTAGCGGTCACCAACTATGAAGCACGGCCACGACGACACGGACACGGCAAAACCCAAAAAAATAGGACACAGTGACACAGGTAGATTTTTTTAATATTATTATTATATATAGATAAATTTATAAAATTCAAACAACAAACTAAAATGTAATTACTAAGTTGTTGTTCCATTTTTAAGCTCTTTTTCTAATTATACTAATTACTATGTTGTTGTTGCTCACTGACTTCGTTTTTTTTTACAGAGTATACTTGAGAGTTAAGTAGCAACGAGCAAGGATGAAGGATCAATCAAATTTCCCAACACAACTACCAAAAGAAATATTCATAATTCATTCATTAAATATGTATATTCATATTGTATTCCTATTTTCTAATTGCTTATTTTTGGACTTAAATAATCAATTATTAGTCTCGACTCTCGAATACAGAATGTTGGATCAAAGCAGTGACATGCATTTTGTTGCAATTGACCATGATAAGGAGCTATATATAATATATTGCAACCCATATATAATATATTGCAACCCAAATGATAAGCAGTGGCGTGCATTTTGTTGCAATTGATCATGATAAGGAGCTATTATTAGTCTTTGATCCGACTTTTCATGAAATATTCAGCCATATTATTTTCTAAACTATCTTCTTTTAATTTTGTGACAGGTAAAAGTTAATAAATCTGATTATTTTGATATCATGTTATAATATTTGTTACTGTACAAAAAATCCTAATTAAATAGCAACTAACAAGATACATGACATGGAAAAGAGAAAAGAAAAACACATAGAAAGAATTCAGTGCATATAAACAGAGACTGAGAGAGACGGAGAGATCGGGAGAGACGGATTCAGAGAGAGAAAGAGAATCAGAGAGAGAGAAAGAGATCGGGAGAGAGACGGATTCAGAGAGAAAGAGAGAAAGAGAATCAGAGAGAGACCTAGAGAGAGAACGAAGAGATCGGGAGAGAGACGAACAGATTGAGAGATCGAGAGAGAGAGAGACTAACCTAGGGTTTGGATTTGTGGCTGGCGGCGGGGACAAGGAAGAGCCGATCTCGAGGGAGAAAGAGTTGAGGACGAGGAAATCTCGAGGGAGAAAGAGACGACGACGAGGAGGAAGAGCAGCTCTGTCAAGAGAGAGAAACGAAGGGATTGTGACTGGCGACGTCATGACCTGGTAAGTGAAGAAATTAGGGTTTAGGTTTGGGTTTCGGTTTTTGCTTGTGTGTTCGCGAATCTCAGTCGTGTCGGGAACGAGTCGAGAGCGTGTCGGGGCATTGACCCGCGTAGGTGGCGTTGACCGCGTGTCCGCGTCCGACACGCGTCGGACACGGACTCGGGGCTAAGTTTGGCGTGTCGATGCTTCATAGGGCACCAATCTCTACTCAACTAATGGATGGATTATTTAGATATTAATAAAAAATATTAACAGTTCCTAAGTGTTGTAGCAAGCTCTCTTTCTCTCATAACTCATTCATTAATTGAGTGGAGATTGCACTACTGATACATTGGGACATAAAGAGGAGTTTAATGAATTGGGCTCTCTATCAAGCGACATAAAGGAGTTTAATGAATTGGGTTATTTTCCCCTTTTTTATACATAGGGCACAGACATATGCTAGTTATGAATTGCCTTATTGTTAATGAATTGGTTACAAAGAGAAATTTAAATAGATAGCCTGATACAGCGCTTAGATACTATTAGATTAGAGAAAGAGAGATTACGACAGCGCCGCTCGTTGCTGTCAGTCGTGCAATCTCCACTCAATTAATGAATGAGCTATGAGAGAAAAAGGGAAAGGGCATAAAGCCTGCTACAAGACCTATAGAACAGTTAGTTAAATATTTCTATTATCTAAATAACTCATTCATTAATTGAGTGGAGATTGATGAGTTGTACTAAGCAGCGTTGTAGCAGGTATATCCCCTCTTCCTCTCCCTCTCTCGCTCTTGCTCTCTCATCTAATAGTATCTAGGTGTTGCAGCAGGCTATCTACTTTAATGGTGAAAATCATACGATAAGAACGGATGACTAGCCAACCACACCCACATAGTGCATGAGCAAGTATCAATAGTTTGTTCAAGAAACCATTTAGCTTAAAATTCCAAAAATAACAGGCATATAGAATTTGTTATCAAAGCATGTAATTGATGTGCATATACCAGTATCCTATGCATAAAATTCAAGCACAAGATACGTACTTGCCAGATCGCATTGAAATTATAAAAAAAAATTGCACCATAAGGACCTTAGAGCATGCGATAGTGAAACCAATGAGATTATTCTCTCCAAGCAAGAAAAGGGAAATTATATTTATGAACATTCAAAAGCCAACGACTTAAAATAGTTTTAAAAAAATACCTTGTCGTACAAGGAGCTTTAGACATTTTCCAGGAATGAAGAACTTTTAGAGCATCATCTACTGATACTTCAGTCTTGAGCCCAATATCCTTCAGAAGCAATTTGCTTGTTACCTGAAATGGATGGTAACAAATAGAGCATGAATTAGAGAGTGGATTTAGGGTGGTGGTGGTTTGGGGATGAGGGGAAAGCACCATATTTGCAAAACAGCAGAAACCAAAATAAACATTATTATGCAAGATAGGAAAGTTTTGGTGGTTGTGATATTCTCGGGGTTCTAAGTTATTCAACATGAGCTATCAGGTTTGGCTCTTTGTACAACTGACATGAGTTTGCACTGAAACCAGTGTCATGTGGTGATGAAAATCAACCTGGTTATGCTATAAGGAGGAATACATGTTTCTGGGTAGGAAATTGGTCATGTAAGGTGGGTACTCAAAGGCTTCCTGTTGAACAACAAAACTTGAGTTCTTCTGCAACCCAACCTAATGGACTCTACGGATCTGAAAGTATACAGACATCCTTGAGTGGCTTCAGATATCAAACTCAAGTTTGGAACCATGACACATGAAAACCACAAACTTTCCTGGTTTGAACATGAAAACTTAAACTGAATACAGACAAATATACCAACAAGGTTAAAGATTTGTTAAGACTTAAGACTCAAACTAGGATAAGACAAGACAAGACTGGCTTAGACAAGAATCATTGTCATTTAGATGCCTTTACTTTATAGTAATATAATTGTCAAAGATGTCTCCCAAGCATAAAGTTTTTTAAGTAGATTGCAGTATAGTAAATATTATGATCATAATAGTTATAAACATTGTCACTAAGGCCTGCTCAGTGGTAAAAGGAAGGGGTTGGGGAATGGCATGTCCAAGTTTAATCCAGCTACAACCTTCATTCAGATGATCAAGAAGAACGATAGCAATAATGTCATAATAAAAATGAACAAGAACAATGGATACTGTATTACACCTAGGCTTGAGACTATCGTTAAGTATTCAAATGTGCAATTAATGTATACGCTGAAGACATAGGTAATTATGTCATTCACTGAGGGCTTCTACTTAAGAAAACAAGATCATGCTATAGCTTGTCATTTTAATTTTCCATAATAGGTGAACATGCCTGATTCAAAATTTGACATCTTCTATCATCATATTTATACTTCATTGGCTTAAGACAATGACAATATAGAACCCCCAGGTTGCATAAGCTTCCATCATATGACCAAAAGACTATCGATCAGATGCATATTTGTGTACCACGGCAAGCTCCTTTCGTCCCAAACAGCTGCCACTTATTCATAGAAGATTCCCATCAACTAGTGAAGGAACGAAGGTTTCTTTCAAAAGAATTAATGCACTCTAAGACAACTAAATCCAGATAATCATAATGATGTACATCTTGGAGATAAGATGCTTAACTAATAAACATGGTCTGCAAACTGCTCAACAGCTCGAGTGATCAACTAACAAAACTAACAGATCAGTACTCTCCCTACAATCCTTTTACTTCTCATCACTATCAAGTATCAGCAACACCTACGTCTTTTCCCCATCAAACAGGATCTGTAAAACTCGTGAATATAGAATATGGGCATGACAGGACACATACAGGAATATGAAAAATTTTGAATACAGGTACAGTGAGGACAGGCGAGCGAAATCTTCACTTTAATAAACAAACATTCCATACGATTGAACAGACATAATGTAGGAACAGATATTAGCTCTAATATTAACTTTCTTAAATCATTAGAAGTCAGGTGGAAAATGTAAACTAGTGTTTATTGCCACATATTAAAATAAAATTTGGAAAAAAATTCCAGAAATATAATCCATATAAAAAAAGTGTGTAGCAATTTCTAAAGTTGGTCTACGAATGCTATAAAACCTCTGATGTTAAAGATTATAAAATTAAAGGTGCGTCAGAAGACAAGTGAAAGAAATATCATGTATACATGCAAAGCTTCATGTCTTGTACATGTCACGCTATATCAAGGTCAGATTCGGAGCATGTCTACATGAAATTTTGACATGTCAAAAGACAAGCTCCCAGGTAAAGAATCCATCTGATTAGTCATGCTGATTTAGCTTGTAATATCAAAGGTGCATATGCCCAAAATTCTCGTGGTCTGGGAAAGTGTCTAAAAGGAGGAGCAAGATTATAGCATTATTGTGTGCATGCGTTCTTTTTCCCGTGTGTCTGTGACACCCATACGTATGTTTTTCCTCTGGTGGTGGTGGTTGGGGGAGTGGTGGTTCCCTTGGTTAGCAGGCCATCATGTGTTATTCCTTTTGTAGCAGACAAATAATAGAAGATCGGCAATCCATCCATGCCCATATAGGCCATCATGTGTTATTCCTTTTGTAGCAGACAAATAATAGAAGATCGGCAATCCATCCATGCCCATATAATATTTTCCTGACTAAACATGCAGATTCAGACAAATAATAGAAGATCGGCAATCCATCCATGCCCATATAATATTTTCCTGACTAAACATGCAGATTTAGCCTGCCTAACCAATGAGGCAAAGGAAGCAAAAACCCGGAGTAATCCTAGAGAGGGAAGAATCTAGTAAAATGGAAAATATGTAAGATTCATTCTAGAGAAATCATCACATTTTCTTTATTTTCCATCTGATGAATAAAACAAGGTCTGTAATCCTTCCTACTTATGAAAATTTTACTGACAAGTTTAGCATTCAAATATTTCCCAAAAAATAAGTCATCGAGTAACAATGGAGTTTAAGGGACAGTGAGAAGATGATAGGAAAAAAGAGAGATCACATTTGATTACAACAAACATATTAGCATTTCTGATTTGCAATACAGATGAACCCCAACTAATGTTTCAATAACATATGAAAAAAGGGGCAGCGGAGAATTGCAATATTGATCTTCAAGAAGAAGAAAAGGCAAATAAAGAAATATCCAATTGAAAACAACAGGATTAAATTTAACAGGTCAAGTAAACACTTCCAGAAACTCCAGAGTTAAAAGATCTTCTATATATAAAAAATCTTCTTTCCAATCCTATTTAACTGAAATAGGTCAGTATTTACCTTATTGTCCAATATCTACAAGGCAATAAGCTATCAAAAAATGGAGACACAAAACGTGGCATGGAGCATTCATCCCAAAAATAAAATAAACATACAGATAAATAAAGATAAAGAATATTGTAAAAAGACATAAATAATTATAAAGAATATTGCACAGATTGTCACCAACTGATCGATATATCAGATAGTGGGCTGACCTGTGGAACAGCATATGGGGCCAGATTTCCTAAAATAGAGCGTACTTCATTACAGTCATAGAAAAGATCTTGAGGGCGGTGCAGATTCTTGTCCGTGCTAGATGCTACCCATTCAAACTCACAGAGACTTCTCATGAAAGAAGATTCGATGGTTCTCTTACCCTCATTGGTTTTGGAAACAAGGAAACTTTTTGAATATGCATTATAAGTATCATCCCACATTTTATCAAGAACTTCCAAAAGGTAAATACACTTTTCTCGACATCTTCTTGAGGAAAAAGTAGACAGGAAATAAAACAACTCAGGCGACTCCCAATCATTGACCGATGATGCCGCAATAGTAAGGTCTTCATCAGGCATCATAACACCGGAGATAATATATGGAATATCTGATAAATCCCTTTTGATGCAACTGACCTGCACAAAATCGGTGACTCCTAATTCCTGCAAGAAAGATTTCCATTTCTTCTCCCCAAATGATAATGACTGAGTAGTAGGATGCTTTAAATAAGCAACATCAACTTCTAGCCATTTGTTGTCCATATTACAAGTAAATAAATCTATATCAACGGGATTCTTGTATTCCTTACCAAAGTGAACTGGCTCATCGACTGGACATTTATAACCATAGTTTGTCAGTACTACAGGTCTTTTCTGTAATTCTGATATTATGTCTTTCTTTTCAGAGGAACATCTTGCACAATCATATTGAAAATGAAGCAATATGAATGATAAATATTCAATCATCAAATGTCTATCTTCATTTTTGTACTTATCACTAGACAAGGCTACTAAAATGTGGCTTTTTATGACTTCATGTGCTGACATCGGTTGAACACCAATCTTGCACAACATGTGCACAAGATTATCGTTTTTGGCCTCTTCGTACGTGTTGTTGGCTGCTGAGAGAAGGAGAGGGTTGACAGTACGAAGTTTGGCAAATAGATTGCGAAATAATGTGGCACTGTATTTATCGTCCATACCAACACTGGAACCATCACAAGGTAACCATATCGGACCATCGGCCACAGAACTGTATGAGCCATCTGAAAGTGGAACAAATGGAACTTTTCTAAGGGAATTAATCATGTCATGTTGCAATCGAGAATTTAAGGAATGATATCCAGAAGAAAAAGTAGATAGTGTCAAATGAAGAACACCAAGCCATGCTGAAATCCATTTAAGGCCCAAAGGCATAATACCGTCTTTTGAGCAACATAGAGATGAAATAATGTCAATTAGGATTTTGGGTCCATAGTCCTGAACACCAAGTGCCTTTGCTAATGCATCAGACAATTCAATATCCTTGCTCAAATATCCAAGACCAAGATGTTTTTGAAGCAAGCTATCAGATACAAGCATGCGAACCTGCTCATCCCAACCTCTGAGAACTCTACACGGCAGAACCCAACTCAGGTCAGGACCATCCAAAAGTAAGCAATTTGACATACGCAATTTAGAAATTATCATCTGAGGAAGAGGGGAAAAGAATCCATGTACTTCCCCTCCCACAGGAACAAAACTCATAAAAGTGGTCACAGCTTTTCCTGGATATTGCTGAAAACAAGGAAGAGAACAGAAGGATTGCTCTGCAGTAACAAACAATGCAGGAAATTCTGTTAATAACCACTGGTTCCAAGCACTATTTCCGTCTACTTCTTCTCTCGAAGAAGGTAAAACAAAATCTCCTTGAAGAATGAATTTCAGCCCATAATTTCTTAGTGGAAGAAAAGCAAAAACAGGTTGCTGGCTCAGATGAGGCTTGTATTCACCGCTCTCACATTCCTCTAGGGTGAAAGCAACGGCTATCTCTGTACTTTGTACATCAGAACGAATGAGATTAGCTGACAACTTTCTACTGATTACTAGCCAAGTCATTGTGTCCTGACCATGAGAAACCTTTATAATGCCATTACCAAGGATCTCCCTTCTCATATCAACAAGCGTCTTATTGAGCATGTTCATAAATTTAATACACCTAAGCCGATGTAGTCTCCCTTCTCATATCAACAAGCGTCTTATTGAGCATGTTCATAAATTTAATACACCTAAGCCGATGTAGGAATAGTAACAAGGATGGATGAAGATCTGAAAACATGGACATTATGGAGGCCACCCCTGTCACCTTACTTGTAGACCTGAAAGGAAGCACAACACAAGTGTTCCACTCGGTATCAGCAGTTGAATGATTTTCGCCAAATACTAGCTGCCTGAACATGTCAACATTACAAGGTTGAATTACAGTAGGCAAAACAAAACCAATCTGATCATCGGTTATGTCAAATTTCACATGAAAACCATTTGAATGGATCTCCGGGGCATCTGTAACCTGGAGAAGAACCATTTTATCAACCATCTTATAAATAGAGAATTATTTAACTACAAAACCATAATGTATCAGAGAAAAATAAGCTTCACAGCTTCACATCATTGTTTCAGCATAAAATCATAAGTTGAGGTCCATGAAACTAGAGTCCATGCATGTCTATGATGTAGCATCACATAGATGGTATTAACCAAGATGCAACTCAAATGCAAACAGAAATCAAATAAAACAATAAGCAAAATACATGGAAAACCATGAAACACGTAGCTGAATTAAACATTACATTCATCCTACCCGAAATACCGATTTGAACCCGATGCCTTTATGTCCAATATAACCTGCTCTTGATCCTTTCTTCGTTGAATTCCCGATATCACAAAGGGCTCTTATGTTCTCAGCAGAGAACCCCTTTTCATTGTTTAAAACAACAATACCAGACTCCTGAAGAATGAATACTAGCGTGGGATCCCCATCTTCAGGATAAGTATTGTCATCTGCATTTTGTACCTAGTGCATCAGGAAACAATCTAGTTAGAGAAGTGGGTTTAGTTTGCTGAGATAATGATATGCTGAACCTGCCAAGTCAAAAACAATTCAAAGCGTAAACAAATAAAGAGATTTATAGATCCACCAACTATGAAGCAATACAAAGTAGAAAAAAACAAATAGCAGTACTAGATTGTAATAGCAGCTTTGATATGATCTAAAGCTTGAACAAATTAATGTGGCGTCCTCTGTACTTTAAAGAATGCAGTCCCACCGTTAAGCCATACTCAAACAAGTAAATAAAATAAGCCTAGTTCCATGAATAGTCATGAATGCAGTCCCACCGTTAAGCCATACTCAAACAAGTAAATAAAATAAGCCTAGTTCCATGAATAGTCATGTACAACGTAGACCTTTTAGTGCACCCTCAAACAAGTAAATAAAATAAGCCTAGTTCCATGAATAGTCATGTACAACGTAGACCTTTTAGTGCACCAGTTAGGAAAATTGATAATATTATAGTTAATGGAGCAAAGCGATCTAGAGGCAGACCTAAAAGAACTTGGTTGGAAGCAATCAAGCAAGATATGATAATGATTAGCTTAACAGAGGAGATGACCATAATAGAGTGGAATGAAAGACTAGGACTCATGTAGCCGACCCCAAACATTTGGGATAGAGGCTTTGTTGTTGTTGTTGTTAGTTCCATGAATACAGGCATAAAAGAACAACAAGGGAGAAGTAATTTTACATACTGACTAGGAATGTGACCTAAAGAATGAAAGAAAGTAGACTTCAGACACCTGCTTAGGGTTGACATCTCGAGATATTTTCAAGAAATCTAAATAAAGATGTGAAAGGTTACATGACTCAGTACAGTTTACTTTGAATTTGTTTGATGTCCTACACATGTATACACTTAAGACACAAACGTTAAGTCAGCAAAACTACCGTAGTTACTTGGATCATATCATGAGCCAAACAAATAACATTAGCCTACGCAACTAATTACAGCTCCATGACACATGGAGTTCTTCTAAAATGGCAGCCACAGGACAAGTCCTCCTTCAAATACAATGAAACTACAATACAGGCATGTGAAAGCTTCCAAAAAGCATCAATGCAGAACATCAATCTTCATAAAGAAAAACAACTTCAGCCACTCTCTATAGGGGAAGGGAACTGACATTTAATAGTAAATGGCATTAGTCACAAAATGTAAGATATTACAGAATTTCCCCGACAATCATCGAGATTTATTGTATAATATTTAGTAAGACAAGCAAGAATTGAGCGTAAGGATAAAAGTAATGCATGAAAAATCCCTTTCAGAAGTGTTATGATGAGATGCCTACTGAAGAAGGAAAACAAATACAAGTAGGAAAACACTTGTGATTTAGATTATCATTTCAGTTTGATAATGGAATGATAATAACCTCAAGGCTACTTAGCTCAAGAAGATTCTGAGAACATATAAATGCACCGTTAAGGTCCACGCATCCTTCATTAATGGCAACTATGATGCAAAGATATATTATTTGACAAGACTATTTTAGATGCTTACAAGCTCCAGCAGAAGATGTGAATCCTGTGAATATAGTTCTTGAGAAAGACAATGTAATGCTCTTCCAAGGCGAGCATGCTGCTTCTTTAGCATGCAGCTGTCAGAATTATTGAGATTAGGGTCTAGACCAAACTCTTCACTTCGAATAGATTCAATTATAGAAGTTGCATCTTGGATTACGCTATTTTCAGCAACACCATAATTCTTATTTACTGCACCATTAAAAGCTTGGCTTTTCCCATGACCATTCGTCAAAGTATGATCAATTTCTCCAACATTCTCTCCCGTAAACAACTCGTTCACATGTTCCTGTGAAGCATCAGCCACAATGTCAGAGATGTTATAACTGTCAGATACAGGTTTTTCACACTTGTCTCTTGCATGAATCGAGGTTCCACCTGACCCTGAGCATGAAGTTCTATTTAAGGTTGTAGAGGAGAGAAACAAATCGGCAGCAACTGTTGAACTAAAGTTGTGGAAATCATCAACCCATTCTGCTATTCCAAGTGATAATCCAATTTCATGAAGCATGAGACGCTGACTAGTTTGACTGCATTCACGCAAAACGACTGAATGTGCATCTTTAGCAACAGACAGAAGCCCTGAGACCAAGACACCGGCTCCAAAACTCCTGAATTCTGAAGGCAAATAGCCAAGGCACTCAAGGACAAATCTAGAAACATTAACAACAGCGTTATTGATTCCGCACAAATTCTCAGATAGTGTACTGCGAATGTTTATGGATTTATTTGCTTTTTTAGAACCAATGGATTGAATACCAATAGCTGAGACCTTATCACGAGTGTCTTGCTCTTTCAATGTGTTTTTATGCATCAAAGCTTCCCCATTTGTCCTTAGTTCCATTGAATTAGTAGAGTTTGCCATTATGACATCAACTGCTCGTTGTACATAGCACTTGAGAAGAGTTGCAGGAGAATTGTGCACTCCTCCATATAAAGACAATATAGACAACAATTTCAGAGCTACTTGGAATGGTGACTTTTGAATCATAGCTTCCAAAAAATCATCAACAGTAGCCGATTGATCAATTCTAATAAATTTTCCATCCACTGTGGCAATACACAATAATTCTTTAGCATCAACTTCATTTAACAACCAATCAGAGAGAGGCCCAAGTGAGGGAGCAATACACAATAATTCTTTAGCATCAACTTCATTTAACAACCAATCAGAGAGAGGCCCAAGTGAGGGAGCGTATAGGACATCCCAGTGCGACCAAGATAGCAAATCAGATAACATCGGTACCTTGAGTAAGCAGTCAATAGCATCTTTAGAGGAGGCATTACCGTGAAAAGAAATATGCTGGCCTGTTTCAACGTCTGTCCAATTACCTCTAGATGGAAGGTTTTCCTGGAAATGCGACAAGTTCCCAATCGAGTGTTTCCCCAATAATGATATGGAGTATAGGACACAGGTAGAATTATTGTAATCTTTCTGCCTCTTAATAAGGTCCAAAAAGTATTTCTCAGGTGCATCACCCGGTATGTGGAAACTGACTGTTGGGAATTGTTTATTGAGAACCAGAGAGATGTCAGAATTAGATATATTCCCTGTGTCAACCAGATTACTCTCAGCTTGAGATAGCAAAATCCCAAGCTGATGTTGAAGCATTGATGCATCCACACGAGATGGCTCAAGAGATTTTCCATTAAGGAAGTTATGCAGTTCAGTTGGAAGCAGAGATGCATGATGTTCCAGAAAGCTAAAGAAATTTCCATAGCCAAGAGAACTGAATTCATTTTCCTTGACCGAGTATTGAGCTGCCAACCATGTTTCGCAATCACACAGCTTTTTCAAGGTTGCAAATATTTTCCCAGAAGATAATTCTCTTTTACCAGGCATTGTGACATCAAGTCTAAAAAACTCGGTGACATTCTTAATGATATCATCAGCAGTAACTCCTATCAGATAGAAAAAGAAATTAAAAGGTACACTTTAAACAATGCAAATAGCTTGTCATGTGGTAGTAAAATTTTAAATTACATCAAAATTCAGGACATAAAATACGAAGACAGGTGTAAACCCAAATTTGGAAAATGTTAGAAAATGAGAATTTAACAAAGAAAAAGCTAATCTAGTTGACTCGGAAAAAGAACAGCATAGTTGGTTACACTGTTAGGGAAGACTTGCGTTACCTGTTGTGGCGGCGGCCGCGGCGCGCGGTTCTTTGTGGCAGGGGAGGGGGGCGGATTTATCACGTTCTTCATAAATTTAAGAGTCAAGAGGTTATTCTAAGCTCTCAATCAAAGGTTGATATTCAAACCATTATTCAGACTGATAATCTGTGTGCCCTAGGAAGTAGGGTACGGGACGGGACACGCAAATTTTGAAAAAGTAGGGTACAGGGACACGGCTAAATATATATAAATAATATATATACCTTATATACTATATATATATATATATATATATATATATATATATATAATATATATATATTAATATATATATATATATATATGGGAAAAGTAAAATCTAAGGTGACACCCTAGGCTTTCCGCCACTAAGGACGCGGCCTAGAATCACATCATTTTCTAAAAATTTTTTGTGATCCGCTCCCGTTGATACTTGATCTAGCACATTCTAACCCAAACAACACCATATTTTGGGGTGAACCCGTTGTGTTTTGACCATTCGTTGAGCCGTACAAAAGTTCTATTCATTCAAAACGGCGTTAAAATTGCAACGAGTGGAATAGGGTTAAAACACGACAGGGTTCAACCCCAAAATTGGTGTGTTTGGGTCTTAAGAACGTGAGATCAATGGTTCAACGGGGAGCGGATCGCAAAAAAAAAGAGGCGAATGATGTGTGATTTTAGGTCGCGTCTTAGGTGGGAGCCTGGAGGGTGTCACCTTGAGATTCACTTTTCCCTATATAATATATATTATATATATATATCATATATATATATATATATATATATATATATATAGTATATATATATTATATATATATATATATTTATATTCATTGTAGATCAATATTGAATTGAAAAAAACCTATCTACATTTGCAAATATACCCAAAAATTATTTTTACTTTAATTTAAAAATTCTACTTTAATTAAAAATTTAGAACTAATATTATTACTTATATAAACCCAAACTCCTCCCCATATAAAACCCAAACCCAAACCCCTCCCCATATAAAACCCAAACACAAACCCCTCCCCCTATATAAAACCCAAACCCCTCCTAATATAAAAAACAAACGGGTTATGAAAAAAACCCAAACCCAAACCCCTCCCTTATAAAACCTTAACCTCCCCCTCTAGGGTTCCCGTCTTCGTCGCCTCCTCCCATTTCTCCTCTAATCTTTGTCGCCTCCTCCCATTTCTCCTCTAGTCTTCGTCGTCTCCTCCCATTTCTCCTCGCTAATCTCTAGGGTTCCCGCAATCCTCCATCAACAGCCCCTCGTACGACCGCTAGGGTTTCATCCAGGAACCCAGATCTCGCTCAAGGGATCGGCAAGTTCTCCCGCTCGAAACCATACCACAAGCGAGATCGCCCAGCTGACGACGTGAATACTCACATCCCCAACCGCCGTAAGTCCAAGCCCACCAGGCTCAAGTATGGATTCTAGGGTTCCTGGGTTTAGAATTTTGTGTTGATTTTTTCCCCTCACTTGGCCGTGTCCCTGCCGTTTGGGTGCGGATCCATACCCAAAACGTACCCGACACGGGTACGAGACCAATTTGGTCGTGTCGGGGTAACATAGCTGATAATCAATGTTAACCCGTCTAAATGACTTACTGTAAGCATTTTCTAATGTTTGTGTTTGGCAAGCTAAGAATAAGATGACATAATTTGGTTAACTTATATTTCGTGTGTTCTACAACTTAAGTGGTTAACTATCCTTAACCACTCACTTAATGCATTGCTGAATAACACTAAGAGGAACTCGTATTCAATAGAATTCATGGAAAGAGAAAATTAGAAATAACAAAATATGAAGTCTTACTTTACATACTTGCTGCACAATTAAAAAATTAACAAAGTTAATATCTGTGAAGCTGAGAACAACATTAAACATCAATTCCTCTTTAAAACACTGAACAGTAAAAAGAGTACAACAAGTTCTCCCCAAAGGAGTTAAGAGTACATCACATCAGGAGAAAGAATTTAGAAGAAATGTTTCCATGAAAAATGTTTGAGATGAGGGCAAATAACTCACTGTAACCAAGTTCATCGATGTTCTTGGAATTATTTGATGCTGAACTTTTTTGTATTGAAGGGTTGATCTCTACAATTTCAGCTGAAGGGGCAGAATCATGATCACCAAAGATTTGAATGGTATCGTATATGTTGTCCAACAATCCACGTTTAATGCATGTTACCTGTAATATTCATGTTTAAATTATGAACAGAAATCTATATGTACAAGCTCAAACTAAATGAAATTAGTTAAGCAAATGAAACATGATGTGTGATAAGTCCCCAACAAGCAAAACTTTGGAGGCGTGCAATGAAACTTAAAGATCTCACAAGACAAGGGAAACATGATGTGCTAGCAATAAAATTCCCATACAGAAAACAGAAAAGCAAATCCAGGGAAGTATGACATGTATAGTAAATACACTTGCTACATACAGCGTTGCTACATGCACCTATAGGTAATTGAAGACAGATGCATCAACAATCAAAGAAAGTCCATTAACCATTTTAATGTACATGCAGCCATTTTTATGGTAATAGACTATGATGATATGATCCAACTACTTGATACAATGATCTGATCAAACCAGAAAGGACTTTGTACGCCACATCAGCAATGCACTGATCCAACTACTTGATACAATGATCTGATCAAACCAGAAAGGACTTTGTACGCCACATCAGCAATGCACTAGCCAAGGGGCTGGGGTGGCACATCAAAACAAACCAGAAAGGACTTTGTACGCCACATCAGCAATGCACTAGCCAAGGGGCTGGGGTGGCACATCAAAACACACCCCATCTAAAAATATATAAAATAAAAACCTCTTCCACACACACTCCCACAGATGGTGAAGTTCTTAACACACACAGTGCAACTAAGATTTTACACCCACCTATAAAGTATATGTTTGACCATCTATATCAATGATCCAACCCATTTGCAGCAGTCTATACATTCTAAAATTCTTGAAGATCAAAAATCACATATATTCAAAATCTACAGTATACATTTCTCATGATCTAGAAATGAACAGCCTGTAATGTTCTTAGAGATGAATCGTTTTCAGTCCCTTGAATTATAGAATAGAAAAACCAAAATCATATGAATTTTTACCCATTTGGTTTTGTTGATGTGTCAATAATAATGAACAATTTGGATTAACAATACAGGTGAGCAAATGTGTAATTCCATAGATTAGTCATGTAAGCTTCTGTTTTATAACCTCACCCTATATGCACACATATATATAGTTTTAACAATTAATCATTTCACTTCAAAGGCCGTTGTAGATATTCTGATCAAGGATATGACTATGTTATACAAAAAGCCAGCTCTTTGAAGAATATTGAATGTACACATGCCCAAAGTCTCAGCTCAAGTGACAGCATGTTCAAACAATATTCTCAGCCACAGAAGGTTTATACATACATATATATAGTTTTAACAATTAATCATGTCACTTCAAAGGCCGTTGTAGATATTCTGATCAAAGGATATGACTCTGTTATACAAAAAGCCAGCTCTCTGAAGAATATTGAGTGTACACATGCCCAAAGTCTCAGCTCAAGTGACAGCATATTCGAACAATATTCTCAGCCACAGAAGGTTTTCCTGCATGTAGGCGAGCTTTGGAAGGGTTTCTTGTTGCATGCTTCTCTTCTTATGGGGAAGGAGAAGGGTATGAATCAACTATATAAAGAATTGGCATAGAAAAAAGTAAAAATAAGCATCCGATAAAGAAAAACTCACAGCAACATTTAGCAATCCAGAACCAGGCAAGGTTGAGAATATCATCTGAATCTGTCTCTTCTTTCTTTCAGTGCTTGATGTCATATAGAAGTTAATCATCATATCAAGGACCTGCAGAAATGGTTTAACAAAGAAAAGGTTTAAGAGCATTAGATATTCAACAGAGCAAAGAAAATAAGCAATTTGTCGCTGGAGGAAACGCAAAGTTTCAGAACAGGGCTAGTTCAGAAAAACTGGACGGTTACTGATTATATATATCCTTTAATTGTGCATTAGTTTAATATAAAATAAGTCGTATGCTTATATGTCCGACTAAAAAAACATTCAGGGATGTTCATTAAAACAGTGTGGAGGGTATTGTACAGCTAAAATAGGCATACCTCAGCAGCAGAATGTTCTCGACAAGCTTCTTTCCATGTTGTTAAGAAATCCTCTATGTAACCATCAACAATAATAATGCTATCCGATTGCCTTTTGAAGTCGATCATTTCTTTAATGCTATCCGATTGCCTTTTGACGTCGATCATTTCTTCCTTTCTCATAAATTTGTTCATAGTATTATCATGATTCTCTCGACGCTTCCGTTTCTTCTTCTTAGTTTGTCCTTTAGTCTGTCCTTTTCTGAAAGACCTGCACCAAACATCCATTAGTTTGTCCTTTAGGGGTTTTTCGCCGGTTTTGGATATCAGTCCAAGCCTTTTCATCTCTTCAGCTGCTGATGATTATGGATAATTTTGGCTACTGCCATTATCATGAGATGAAATCTGATGTGAACAAGAATTTACATGGTCACTGTTATCATTGTCCTCATAATCTTCACACTCGTCATCAGAAGAATAATAAAAATGGGTGTGCTTACCACCAGAACCATTGGACGAAGAGGAAAACATCTTAATACGGTTAGAAATAGAATCAAAACGCTCATTAAGTATCTTCTTTTCTAAATGCATCTGTGTACTAGATGGAAGTTCTATAGAGTACCTTTCTTTCAACTTATGTTTGAAACCCTTCAGGGATTTATTGAGAATAGTCTTTTCTGATTGCTCGCCTCGCCGGATGTACGCTACATGCAACCTACCAAAACAACTTAACTAGTAAATGGGAAATTGGATTATACTTTTAAGTAACAAAATCCATTAAGGTAAACAAAAGAGGTAAAGGATTATGCCATATATTAAACACTGCAGTATAGTCAGAGATGAACTCCACAGCTAACAGATTTATGATCCGTTGGTGCACATAACATGGCATTTTATAAAAACATGGTGTAAGAGCACTTCTACTCTTAAACTTGGAATTATGGATATTGCTGGTTTTGAATTACTCTGACAGGTGAATGTTTAATTCTACCTATAAAAGCATAATAAGAAGTAAGGTGCATAGCCTACTTCCACAGTATGAATCCATATAAATGGATAAAATAAACCTAGAGATAGAAAGTTAGCCACATGTGTTAGTGTACACATATGGTAAATGAGAGAGAATGAAGTATACCTACTTTTGCATAAAAGAAAGTGTGCTGAGCAAGTAGAGAAAAGAACAGCCAAATTACAACTATTTTCAGGTTTACAAATGTAAGTTTGTAGGCAGCATGTTTGTTCCATCTGAAATATGATATGATGATAAAAGTGTGCCTTCGCAACTTGCCATATCCCATGGAGTGTGTAGTGTGTGTGAAGAGCAAAGAAGCTACATGGACCACTATTCCAAACCATGCACAAAGGAGGAGCACATACCCCAAGTTCTGAATCCGCACACCAAGCTTTTGTTTATGTGGAAGTGACTTCTGCTCTGCAAGAAAGTCTAACAACTCCTCTGCTGACACTGTTTTCCTCTTGCACTGCATCAAGAAGCTATGCAAGGAAGCTATAACGTCCTCAGCTGATATTTTGAAAATATCAACAGAATCTGAACCAACAAAGAAGTAATGTTGCACAAGAGGGTAGCAAGATAGAGGACCCATGCCAAGCTCTTCAAACCGTTCAATACCCTCATTCTTGCATATTGCCACCTCCAAGTCATATACAGTTGTAATGCTTTGCACACCGACAAAGCAGTGTATAAATGCATTTATCTGAAAATTTTTAAATATTGAAAAGGGAATCAAACGCAGAAATGACTGATATTCCTCTTCAGCTTGCATATTGATAAAAATCTTGGAAATAAAATGTCATTAACCTCTCAACGTATGAAGCTATGTAAGTGTAAGTGTATAACTAAGGAGCCATTTAGACAAACTGCATAATTGCTAAAATATTACAACATTTTCGAAACAAGCAAAAAGATTGTGATGAAATGATTGGATTAATTCAAAAATTCTGAACTGTTCTACTTAGACTTGCTTTCACCTTAAACCTTATACCTATGCAATGAAACAACTCCACAAATCTAAACATTTAGATTTTGGGGATTATAATAAAAAAAAATAGCAATATAACATGTCTTAATCCAAAGTCCACCAGTTTAACCCAGCAATCAGACTGTCTTAAATTGGGGAGAAAAACTCAACAAAGAATCAGAAAGGAATCCATCTTCTTTTTTACGAACTAATGTAAAGAATTATACGTTAAAGCGAAAGAAATTAGTATCAAGAAACAGAATAAATAAACAGTGTTATGCGCTTCCTTACCTCGATAACATTTAGTAACAGCCTGGCAATTGTGGTCTTGATTAGCTTTTCAACGTGAATTGTTTTCAGAACTCAACCGTCACAAGGAAATATTAAAAATATAATTTCTAAATCAGGGATTCTAACTAACATTTACCATTTTATCACAAATATTAGTTAGAACATTAACCCGAATTAAGTTAGCTACATATTTAGCGTAAACAATCAAAGATTAAGTTAATACGTACATCTGTCAATTTCTTCTTCTCTCTTATCACGTAGCAGTCAGAAATGATTTGATACAATGTAATTGGATCTGTCAATTTTCCCATTTTTTGCTTAATTCCTTCAGGATTTTCCCTCTAAGGACCTATGCCAATTATCTATAACATCACGATTTCAAAGATAATCCCCTATAAGTAATGTCAATCCTTGGTTTCCTTAAACAAATGGAGAGAAGTAAAATTTGAACCTTTCCTTCAATAGCCAGCAATCGGCAAAGAGTCGGAACTTCCTGGAGCTGAAACCCTACCGCGCTCCAAGAATCCACCTGCAACGAAACCAGAGTGGCCTGCGAGACTTTCCAGGCCGTGACATTCTCACCAGCGGTGGCGAGATCCCTCTGAGCCTTCGCAGCCGCGCTCTCGACCCTCTCCACCGTCACCTTAGGGTTTAGGGAGGCATTTTGCGGCTGAGGCGAACGATGAGGAGGAGGAGCAGCCTGGGATTGAATGTAGAGGCTTTGGAAATTAGGGGTTTGAGGGAAAACATTGAGACGGTTCTGGATTAAGGGGTTTTGGAGATTAGGGTTTTGGAAGTAGAACCGGGGATTGCTTTGTTGTTGATAGAATTGGGGATTGGATTGGTATTGAGGGTTGGGGTTTTGAGGAAAGTAGTTGGGCTGGAAGTAGGGTGCTCCGGCGGAGGAGGCGCCGGCGCCTCCGCCGCGGTGAGGGCGGTGGTGTCGCGGTCGCATGAAAGGCCCTAGCTTTGAGCAGGCGAGGGGGGGAGAGAGAAGTCGGCGGAGTTCAAGATAGCCAGCAGAATAGGGTTGGAATTTGTTTGATATAATTTTTGGACAAATTTTCAAAACAGTCACATTTATCAAATTATTCTCAAAAAACGACTTATTTTGAAATTAATCTTCAAAACCAACTAAGTTTCAGCTTCGTCACTGAAACTAAGTCGGTTTTGAAGAAAAAAATTACAAAACTTCACGGGAAACTTTAAAGAAAAAATATTACGAAACTTCACGGTGAAGTTTTAGGCTTATTTCCGGACACTAGAAATTTAGCATGCAACTTCATAGGACTTCAAGTCCCGTCAAGCTACAGGTTCTAAAAAAAACATGCACAGCCTGTTGTGCATGTTTTTTTTATATATGCAACGATGTTCCTAAATGCATTTCACAATAATATACATGAAATTTTCGTTATGAATCAAACAATATACATGAATCAAATAATACTCATGGCAATACACATGTGAACAATAATCGATGACATATATATTGAATTATAACAATATTCTTAAAATTCAGGCTTGAATCAAACACGAATCAAACAATACTCACGAAAATCACATATCTAAATAATAATCTATCCCCAAAAGTAACAAATTTGAACAATCATAAATTTAACAAATTTCAACAAAAGAAAATCACATACAACCCAAAATTCCTCCTCTACGTCCCCTCCCTCTCTTCCCTCTTCCCCTCGCTCTTCCCCTCTTCCCCCCCGCTGATGAGCCTCGATGATCTGAGTATCTGGTTGTGTATGAGGCTAAGAAATACCGGCTCCATCAGCATGCGTCGTTCTATGAGAAGTGTCGGCTCCATCGTCACCTAACCTATGTCGTCACGTGTACATTTGCTCAAATGATCGAGACATATCCTCACGGCCTGCAAACCCGTCGACATGAGTCTTATGAAACACGCTTTCTGTTTTCTGTTTGATCCTGTTGAAGACCCCTAAGGCCGTCGGATCCTGGATGTCATTGATGTGCTCATTTATATCAGCTTCAATGTCATGAAAAACACTTATTTGCGAGTTAATAAATATATACACAATTTAGCAAATAATATCTTAATAAAAATTGTCATTTTAATTTAGCTTAGAAACTTACAGAATCTCTCTCGATCATGCCACTATGAATATAACTATCTGTCGGTGGGCGTGGCAGGTATCCAGCGGATGGCTGTGGGTCGCGTGTGATCCATTTACGTGTGATATCCTAATACCAACGCATATATGTGGTATAATCAACAGATGTATCTCTCTCATCGTATCTCTCTCATCATGTATGGAAATCCCACATATTAATCCACCTGTCTACGTAGGGTGCACGGAATACAACCCAGTCCGTACGATACGATGTAGGTTGTCGCCTACGATCGATAGTCTTGATAGGATCATGCGCATGCTGAGAGCGCAAAAATTGCCGCAACACACGGTCGGGGACATGCATCTCCACAATCTCCCAACATATCAATGGAACTCTGGCTCTCCACAAGTCAGGACTACCTCGACAGATAGGTGTGTAGGCTGTCTAAAAATTACTACAGATAGCTTATCCCCATCAAACACTGATGATAGAAGATACAATTTGACGACTTCTAGAAGGTTACAATTTGAAGACTTTCACGTAGATCGATAAATATTACAATCTGACGACCTTCACAACAACTGATGAAAGCTCTAATCAACAGCCTTCACAATTAACATCGGGAGTTATAATCTGACGACTCTCATATTTTCAAGGAGCCAAGACGAAGATTACAAGATGATGATCTTTGCAACGCTCTAGCAAAAGAGACTACAAATTGATAGTTTATTCGAATCAAGACGCAGAGCTCACCTCTGCGTCTCAAGCTTAAAATGCAAAGGTCCTCCCTGCGTTACAACCTCAAAACGCAGAGGTCATCCCTGTGTTACAACATCAAAACGCAGAGGTCATGCGCGCGTTTCAAAGTCAAAACGCAAAGGTCATCCCCAGTGCTCCAATTTAAAACGCAGAGTTCGTCTATGCGTCCCAACTCTGTGTTTCGGATTTACAACGCAGTGCGACCTGTGCGTTCAGCCACCAAAATAGGCGTAACTCTGTGTTTCAAGTCTAAAACACAGAGTTCGGGCCTTGAACGCTATTTTTCAGCGTTTGACTCGTTCAAAGCACGAACTGAATGGTTTCAAAACTGTTTTCCCCATGATTTGGGGAGCAGTTTAAGAGGGCAGTTACACCTCATTCAACCCTACTTAAGAGCGAATTAAGGGGGCAGTTACACCCCTTAATCTCCTATAAATAGGAGTAAACTCAACTGGGTTCAGATCCTTCTTTTTTGGGCAGCGAAGAAGAGATCTTGGGCTGACTTTTTGGATCTTCAATCTGGAATCTTAGAGATCAAAGCTGCACAAAGGAGAGATCGACTTCTTCAGATCATCTTCTCGACAGCAGATCATGTTGGAGCTTCCTGCAGCGACCAAGTTCCTTGGAGCCTTCGGTCTTGGCTTGTCAAACTGATTTTTGGTTAAATCAACTCTTTCATAGAGTTTCAAACTCGTTCAGAATTATCAACTCATCGAGAGTTCTTTAAAACTTGCCACGTAAGTTCTCCACAGCGTCAAATCGTGAGGAATCAACCATGTTCCAGTGAAACAAGATATTCGGACCGTCAATGAGAAGCAAACTCGACGCGAGCATTCGAGAGAAGCATCTCATCGTCACCGTGAAGAACCAAACTTAAACGAAGGGGGAGATCTTTATCGATCTTCCTCTCTTTTATAATCAGGAAATCCAAATTGTAATTAAGTTTGAGAGAATTGTAAATATTCTTTTTCTAAGCTGTTAGAGAGAATAAAATCAAGTACGGTTTTTTTATTGTCTTCTTACTACAAATTTTCCACCAAACAAGGTGCAAGAGTACGCATATTGAGCTCCGGCGGTGAATAGAGGCACTACTTAAATGAAATAAGATAAAACATTTATCAGTATCAATAACAAAACTAAAATATTTATAATGAATTGAGTTTTATGTTTACCTGCTATTGTTGGAGCCCATCAAGCTCATTTCGGTAAAACTATATATGTCACGTCGCTGATTTATATTTAGCGCACCGCGCGTTATACCTATTTGGCATAAAGAATATATAAGTTCAAATTCAACATGAATAAAATTGTGTGGACAATTATACTTGTATGCCAAAGGAAACTGGCCATGTAGATAGCAGTGCACAAGCAAAGTAGGTCGTCCAATATGAATGTGTTCCCATGACCAAATTTGTATCAATGTGCAGCATCCCTTGAATTATTTATTTGCATCAAGGTGACCCTACCTAGTTATCTATATAAGTATGCCAACAACGCACTACCCCATGATAGTGCATCGTACACACCAAAATCCTCTAGCAGTGGCAGTCATCGTGCATGTACAAGATTTTTGCTCGCATCAGGAAATATCATGCACTCTATCATGTGTAATATATACGCACGAGCATGGTACTGAAGTGTCTGAATCATGGCATCACTGTAGGTGTAAATTTTGATCTCCCGAGAACAGGGAACTTCGTTTGTATTAATAAGAATAGCTTATTACAAACTAATAAATCGAAATTACAACAGAAGCAGAGGGAATGCCCTCCTTGTTTAATGTGGGGACTTTCGGTAGCTACAGGATGCTTCGCTCTATTCTCGTGCCGAGTCTGCTTCACTTGGACGATTCGACCGAGGTTGCTGGAGAGCTTCAGTACACAGTAGAAGCTCAGGTTGATGGAGTTCGGGTCTCCGAGTTCGGTGGCGATCAGGGCCCGGAACTGAGAGAAGATGCTACAGTGTAAAGGTTATGCAAAGAGCTTGTCGTCGACCCGATTAGGATTCGAGAGCTAGTGGTTCGGTTAGCTGATTCAACTATGGGCGAATCGTTGAGTGGCTAAAAACAGCTGAACCTCTTCTTTTTGGCTGGAAGAAGTTCTGAACCCCTTCTTTGTGGCTGGAAGAAGTTCTTAAATGGTGGAGAGACCATGTGGTTACTTCTTGAATCATGGGATATGACCATGTACTGTTGAGAGACGTCTTGCCACCCCTCTGTACTACGAATGGTCATTCGATGGGTTGTGCTTCACGTCATGTCACATAGGAGTGGGAAGACCCATCCTCGTATGTGAGACAACGGCTGCTCACTACTCGAGTGGATTTGGCCAGCTTACTGTGCACCGGCGGGTCCAGCTCTTGACTTGGACCGATGAGCTGAGTTGCATTTATGAGCGCGCAGGTTGATTTGGCGTCTGTCCGATCACTCGTACTGTGGGCGGCCACTCGACGGACTTGGAGCCTTCAGGTCAAGAGAGGTGGGAAAGCGGGTGCCCAGTACTCGAGTGGGTTTGGACAGCTTGCTGAATGTCGACGGATCCAGCTCTTGACTCGGACGGGCGAGGTAAGCTGCATTTATGAATGTTCAGGTTGATTTGGTGTCTGTCCGATCACTCGTACTGTGGGCAGCCACTCGACGGGCTTAGAGTGCTGTGTCTTCTCCCTTCAGGTCAAGAGAGGTGGGAAAGCAGGTGCCCAGTACTCGAGTGGGTTTGGACAGCTTGCCGAATGCCGGCGGATCCAGTTCTTGACTCGGACGGGCGAGGTGAGCTGCATTTATGAATGTTCAGATTGATCTGGCACCTGTCTGATCACTCGTACTGTGAGCGGCCACTTGACGGGCCTGGAGTACTGTGCCTTCTCCTTTCAGGTCAAGAGAGGTGGGAAAGCCCGCCCCGGCACGTGGGGTAGCGGATACCCAGCTATACTGGCGACCTTGAGGTTTGCAAGCGGATCCGACTTTAGACTTGGTCAGGCGAGTTGTAAAAAAGGTGAATTTCCGTTATTTAGTCGATCTTGACTCGTGCGGGCGAGTTAATCATTCAGGCGAACCTGGGACACGAGTGCGTTTGACAACCGCGTGGCTTAGGTCCGTGCTGGCGAATTGTGTTGGCGACTTCTCCTTGCAGGCGAATTTCTCGTAAGTTTACAGAGGTATTTTTTACCGTCTACAAGACCCCCTTTAAAG